TGGGCCGGCCCAGGATGGAACAAAGATCAGAGTGTTNTAACTATTGTCCTGTGAAGACCAACTCAAAGTCTTCACGACTTTGTTTCCAACGGTGGACACTTGTCCACTTAATAAATTTCAAATTTACCGCCTTACTTCTTTTTTTTTTTCATTTTATCCCCCACTTAAAAGTAATATGAAATGTCCTGCCAGTAGAATAGGAAGCAACAGCTGGCCACCACACTCATCTCCTAATTCCAACAACTATAAATTGGTCCTCAAAGTTTTAATATTTCTCTTTTGACACGCAATAAAATTCTAATATTGTATAAATTTACACTTAACAATAATATATTTTTTTTTTGGGGAGGGGGAAAGAGGACTTAAACCCTTAACTTCAAAAAGATAAAACCTTCATAAGATAAAAATATCATTAAACTAAAGACTCGTTGATTACTTATTACTTCAATGCAATGCAATGCAATGCTTGACAGGGTCGCACATCCTGGACCAAAAATCCAGTNTATAAATTTACACTTAACAATAATATATTTTTTTTTTGGGGAGGGGGAAAGAGGACTTAAACCCTTAACTTCAAAAAGATAAAACCTTCATAAGATAAAAATATCATTAAACTAAAGACTCGTTGATTACTTAACAATAATTTCAAATCAATTTTTCCTTCGTAATTAGTATTACTTAAATGCAATGCTTGACAGGGTCGCACATCCTGGACCAAAAATCCAGTCGTTTCAAATGTTAGCAAAACCAAATATATTATTTTCTGTTATATATATGTATATATTAGGTGAATTTATACAAACTAAGAAAAGTCAGTTATTTTCTTCGTATATTATTTTGGTTGAGCAGGGTTGTCCAATGAAATATGGGTTATTCATCTTTGACATTGACTCGACAATTTTTCCAATCACGCTAGCAAATTGTGCAAGTTTCAACTTATTGATAATTAGTTTATTATATTCTTTTAATTTACTCCGTCTCTTTCTTCTTCAATTGGAGTTTTCCTTAGAGTTGTTGCATTCCTCTTTTTTGGGTTACGTCCAACTTTACCCTCCTCGATCTTGATTCCCTCTAATGTTTTCCTCTGGTTTTGAAGTAAATATTTAATATAACGGTGATATTACGTCATTGTCGCCACGTGATGTCACCAACCAATTAGANAGTTGTTGCATTCCTCTTTTTTGGGTTACGTCCAACTTTACCCTCCTCGATCTTGATTCCCTCTAATGTTTTCCTCTGGTTTTGAAGTAAATATTTAATATAACGGTGATATTACGTCATTATCGTCACGTGATGTTACCAACCAATTAAAAGACTAAAAATAGGTAAAGTAAACTCCACTAATCTTATAACTATTTGTAATCACCTCATCCAATGAGCAACACATAGGATTAGTGGGATCCACCTTACCTACTTGTTGTCTTTTAATTGGATGGTGATACCATGTGACGGTGATGACGTGGTGTCACAGTTGCAATGAATATTTTCTCCTATTTTTGACCTCATTTGGTGTTTATCCAGTCTTNCTCATCCAATGAGCAACACATAGGATTAGTGGGATCCACCTTACCTACTTGTTGTCTTTTAATTGGATGGTGATACCATGTGACGGTGACGACGTGGTGTCACAGTTGTAATGAATATTTTCTCCTATTTTTGACCTCATTTGGTGTTTATCCAGTCTTTTTTTTTTTGGAACAATGTGTTTATCCAATTTATTGAGTTTAGATTTAAACGAAATGGGGCATAAATCTGTCTCTTCAATTTCGATAGTTTTTATAAATTATTTTATTATTTATAGTCCTTATAAATTGTTTGTCAAATTTGATGATAAATATTGATTTTATCCAACTAAAGGAATTAACTTTTGAATTGGCTATGGTAAAATTCTTATAAGTGATCAATGTTGAAACAACCCCTTATTTAAGAAAGTGATAATCGTAGTAGTGACATACAACAGTGTTCTAAGGAATAACATGGTAAACATTTTTTTTGGGTACAAGAGTTTTTCTTCCGACTTTTTTGATGAATTTTATCGACTTTTTTTTGGGTGGACTTTTTGATGTATTTGTCTATATGGATTGCGGCCTCTAATTGTCATTTTCTTATGAAAAATTGAACTTCGAAGTTTCTCCCACGATAGAAAAGGTCTGGTTCCACCCCTACATATCCTATTGGTATATTGACAAGTTATTTTTTGATATCGTACTGAAAGTTAATATAAAGTAAATGTGGAGTTATGCTTTAATATACATAGGTTATGACTCAATCTAGTAAGATTACGGCAAAATAAGGCTAACTCCCAACTTTTTTAGCCATGACTTAACTTTTCAGGATTGTATGTTAATTTAATTTAAATTGTAACTAACTAATTTTATGATAATTGTCCGTACGATATCAAATTTGGATTAAAGTTCTGACTGGATACTTGTTGATACTAATTTACCATGCTGATACTTTGTGGATGATTTTTTTTTTTAATGTTAAATGACTAGACGATTTAGGTGTTCTGTTTTGCCTCCATTCATGTAAAAAGTTTATACTAGTCTATCATCTATCAATTAAATAATGAATACTGTTATTTAAACTTAAAAAGTTGATTTAATTTGTTAACATAATAATGTGAATTCGTAAGAATTATTGGACCAACACTAACTTCAAATGATTGATAAGTCATACAGTCAATTTAAATATCACAATAAATTATATTAGATTTTTATGTCAATTAAATAGGCCTCAATCCTGTACTCAATCCAGCTGTATTCCATCATGATGCGAAGGCACTAGGAGTGTGTGCTTTGCATTCATGTTTGCTGCTTCAAGTCATGTGTTCACATTTCAATTAATGAATTTGTACGACATGATATCATATATGTGTTGACTTAGAGTCGGGTAAGATTGCTTATATTTGACATATCTGAGATTCACGATAATAGAAGTCACGTGCATAGCCTGCTCTTGCTGATGTACTTTTTTGGCTGTCAGCTGGGCACAACGAAAAACCTGTAAAATGAATAGATAACGAGTTTCCGAGGCCAATGGATCATGGACTTGCAAAATTGAACTTGAACGTCGAACAGTCTTAGATCAAGTCACTAGAGAGTCGGACCCAAACTATCTGAGCTTAAGGTTAATGTCAGAGCAAAGCATATTATTTGTACGAGTTTTTTATTCTCTTGCATAAGTCATTTTGTTGACCATTGTCCAAAAACAATGCAAGTGAACCAGTCAAAAACAATAATAGTTTTTTTTTCTACTGTAATGTAGTTATAACTTTTTGCTGTAGTGTTGGTACGTCAAAACTCCAACTGGTTTGACTCGTAGTGGCAATACAATTTTCCACAAAACTTTTTCTACTTTTTAACTCCTTGACTGACTTGTAGAGGGAGAGGAAGAAAATTACAAGGAATGATATTCCATAGGAATTAGGTTTTGAAAATTTTCTGATTGATTATCCTTGGTCGGGAAGGAATTTACTTTGGAGATCAATATAATTGATTTTAGTGATCGAGATATTATACCCAATGCACAAAATCCCGCAAATAACGGGTTTGTCGGAGATTAACGACTAATGTTATATTTATTTTAGAGAGATTGATTTCTGATTTGGCAATGAAGTTGATTTTTTTTTGCTATTATCCATGGAAACAATTAGGAATGTGTTTGATTTTTGTGGAGTCTAGTTTATGTTGATTTGAATGATAATTTGACCTAAAATAATGTTGTGTGGTTTTTAATAGAAAATTTTTTGAGACTTAGTCCATGAAATGAAGGCTTGGGCCAAATTTTTTTTTAGCTTGTTTGTTTTGTAGCCCGGTGCAACACATATAAAACCTGTTATTTTTGGGTGATTAGTGTTGATTGACATTGTACGCCCACTCTGTATTCCTTTTTTATAATAGTGAAATCCCTATAGTTTCGTGGACATAGACAAATCGCAGATCCACGTAAATACTATCCTTTTTGTGAAATTATTTTTTTTTTGCGTGTGTTTTCTCTATTTTTGTTTCTCACGGGTTTAGAAATTTCCTAAAGAATTTCCTAGCAGAATGGAGGTACTTTAAGTTGTAATGCTACATTTTGTGTAAAATAGAAGTTTTATTCGAGACTTTTTACTTGTATAAAATTACAATCCAATTAGGTTAGGTTATCGTACTAACAAAGAAACTTACAATGCAAAGGTCGACTTAGGATTTGTCCAAGAAAATTAGAAACAATCCCAATTTTATTATGATCAAAGCTTAGGAAACTCTATAGTACCAAAATTTTTTTGGGTACGGGTCCTTGCCATTAGTTTGTATGGTAAAGTTAATATTTTAAAAGGAGAAATTACAACTGTTCAAGGGAGGTCATGATCGATCACAGACACCCATCATTGATCATGAAAAATGACATATCGATATTAACCTTTCATGATCGATTATGTTCTTTGAAGTTGTAACTTACACTTGAAAAAAAATTGTAACGTAACTTTAAAAAATTGTAACTTTGGGTGTTGGTACCACCGACAGAACCGTAGAAGTTCTCCCAAAAAATTATTACTTCTACCTCCTATTCTTTCCTGTAATTCTATTCCTTGAATTTTGGTTCTTAGAACCCTGGCATCCATGTTTTGGTGATTGTATAGAATGGGTCCAGGGTGGAGGAGAGGGAAAACCCCATCTAAAGTGCATAAAAGTCAAGAACTGCCACTAGCTCAGGGGACACAATTATGCACTTCCATATCTGTAGAGGAATGTAAGTTCTCTGTTTTATTTTTACTACAAAAGAAAACCAGTTCTACAAAATGAGATGGGGTTGACATGTTTTCCAAGTCAATTTTATCCCCCCTTGCAAGCTGGAAATGAAGTCTGGCTACAACACATGTAAACGGATAAGATTTGGATCGGGTTTCGTCCCATTTGAATCTCATTTAAAAAATCTAATCCAATTATCTAATTGATTTTTTCACAGTCCATACAGCATAATTAAAGTTGAATTGCATCTAAATTTCACCAAATTTCCACACACACACACATATAAACTTCATGTCGGATTATAAGATGTATGAATATTTATATATACAAATCGGAATCTACAAAAATATGACATAACAGGGTTCAAATAAATAATCATAACTATCAATTCATATCTAACTAATGAGATTCGTATCAAAATCCGTTTGATTCACAAGACTAGCTAGTTGCTACTGCTGGGGTCCAACCTCCTATAGTATGGATACCTAATTGATCAAGCTTTAGGCTGATGCATACAGTATCTATTCAAATCCAACCAAGTTTATTCCAATCCCCTGGAGATTCAAGACCAAAAGCCATCTCCCAATTGGAGCTTCCTTCATCCTCCACCTGGATTTCCCCTGAAAATGAAGTTCCAGGAGAGCTTGCTCTCTCCATCATTGCAATATTGGGAGAAGATGCTGCAACAACCTCAATCTCATGATCTCTATTAGCTTGTGGAATCATTCCCTCCTTTGCCTGTGTTCCCACTGGGCGTCGATCGAATGCTCGACAGCTTCCTGATATGACGTATACTCGACATAGACTCATTTCATGCCTCAGCTGCATATGAAGAAATGCTTAATTTATTAGTTGAACTTAAATTAAAAAAATATATATTTTTATTAACGGAAATTGTTCTAATCACGTGTCTTTTTAGATTGGTAGGTAGCTGCAATGCAGAAACACCCACCAAACCATTGACACGAGTTAAACCCGAATTTTATGCAGCTTTGTTCTGCCATTGAACCAACTTGTGCGGGTTTTTCAAAAACATTAACAAATTTTGCATTAATCAGCAAAAATCTTATGTACCTTTGGAACAGAACAGCTAGATGGAGTGGTCATTTCTTCTTCAATGGCTCTGTACTCGTTCATCTTCCACTTGGTTTTTCTCCCAGTAGGGGCTTTCCCTTTGTAATACACCATGGTTTTCTTCAACCCTACCACTCGATTATCCGATGAGTAAACGTAACTTGGAGAGCCTGTGGCCTTCCAGTACCCGGACTCTGTGGTTCGATTAGGTCTCCCTCCTCTTGCTTCTCTTTCTTGTCTAGGAACAAAGAAAAACCACTGCTCAGTGTCTCCATGGCACAACTCTCCCGAAAGCTCTGCATCAATTCCCATAAGCACACAACATTTAGTTGCTCCGGTCAAATGTCCGTCCACGTTGGAATTAGGATATTTATGAAGAATAAATTCGTCATGATCTAACTTCAACTTCAAGGGGTTGCCAAGACGTCTGAACTTACAGTTTGTCTTCGTTACTATTTGAACTACCCCTTGAAGTTAACGGAATTACTTTTGCATGAACAAAATTAGATTGAAAAGCGTTGTCAAATGGTACATTAGTCTACAACAGGAAATGTAACTGTTTGTGAGTATCTACTGAAGTAGTGTTAAAAGAGGAAGAAGAACTAACTTGGAAGCTGCCATGGCTCTACTTCATAAATGTCGACAACCGGGATAACCCGATTCAGCTCCTGCCTCTTCTCCTCCAGTTTATTGTGCAGATAGAAGGTAATTAGCTCCTCTTCCGTCGGGTAGAAGCGAAAGCCTGGTGGAAAGTCCTCCATTTTTTGTTAAATCACTCACTAAACAAGACTCTCGTTCGTGCAAAGAGTCTATTTTTGAGCCTTATCTTAAGAGTAAGAGCTACATATTATAGAGTGATGGCTTTTGTTATTGAAGTGATCTATATATATAGAGTGCTAATAAATTAGACAGCAACCCATTGTTGCCGAGTGAAAGGAGAAAAATTGGCTTGTGCTGAGATTGTGGCTGTAAACTTCCACGCGGTTGTGCAAAGAAATAATGATATTTTGTCCAATGATATTCATTGTAATTCCATTTTTGAACTAGTCAGCAAAGTTTTTCTTCTATGAGTTGCAACTGCAGGCTTGGTTCTCTGCACCCTTGTAATGAAGGGTGAGATAATTGAGATGACCTATGATCAGTGTATAAGGATTCAGATTCCCTTAATATTTTTTTTTGTCCCTCTTTTTTGGACAAATCATGCATAATTATTAATAAGTGAGAGACCCAATTATATATAGGGTTGGTAGTCAAGTCAAGCTACTCAGATTCGACTCAAATAGGATTCGATTGAACTCAGCTCATGCTCTAAACGAATTTGAGTTTGAATAATTTTTTAGACTCATTTGAAAATGAGTATGACAAAGTTGGATTCAAGCTCGTATAGTTCGGCCCGATTAATAGCTCTACTTATATACCATGGGTCTCACTTGAATACGATTGGAGACCCAATTATAGTATGACTTATTTTGCTTCTAAAGGGATTCGAAGAGGAAACCTGGTTAAAGATTTCAATTATTCTCAGTGTTTTTCATTTTTCCTTTCTTTAGTCTCCAAAACACCCAAAGCAAGTTCAACTTGTTTCCCATTTTTTGTTCTTTACATTCTTTTGTTTTATTTTCAAAAATTATAGAACAAAAAACTCAAATAGAACAGCTTCTCCTTGTTTTCAGAAATTTGAAAACAAAAACTGTTTTCAAAAATTAAACCAATAGAGCCTTGACTTCGTTGTTCTACGAAAGATTGCAGTATGAAAATTGGATTAACTTCCATTGATTGTTAAGAAAAAAAACTCATTTCATTAATAGGTCGATTCAAGGTGAGTAATGAAATCCCCTTCAACATTTTTTTTTTCTCACTATTTTTTATTTTTTTTTCCGTTCATTAATGGTGAATGATCAGTTTAAAAAAATAATGAAGGGAAAAAATATTAAAAATGATATGAATCAAATATACTTGACAATTGAAAAGGGCTACCCTTATTGTTAGATACACCATTAAAAAACAAAGGAAAGATGAGTTTCAAATGTTATAATTATTTAATTTTGTTCGAGACGCGTTAAGGATGACATAAACCACTCGTAAGAGTGACAATACCAAAACGCCTGATCCACAAGTAATCTTTTGTATACGTATTGCTTGGTGACAATGACGCTGATATTCAAGTGTTATTAGCATTTAAGTAGATGCTTATGCCCCAAGGGGTCCTTCATACATATAGGAAAATTCATGTTTTGACCCCCTCATTTTCATCCTTTTGTAGCACATTACCTCCCCAATAGTCGAGTTTCTCATATTATATTTACAAGGGTTATTATTTCTCTCACATTGCCTCTTTAATTATCAAATTTCTTATATTACACCCCTAATTATGGTTATTGATGTTACATTACCCCAATTAAGACTATTAAAAATTTGTTTTTTACTATAGAGAACATTTGATTTTGGGTCATTTTCAAACAAATTCAAATTGTTGAGTAGCCAATGCAAAAAATTCAAATGTAATTGAGATGCTAGCCATAGTTGAGTGGACCAAACTATAATTTACTTGTATATCGATTGCAAAAATTTTAATTTGACCCCCTCAATTATTGACTCGATCTCAATTTGTCTCTTTAATTATTATGTTTCTCACATTATCCCCTTAATTATCTGAATTAGTTTTGCACTGTCCTGAAATCAAACATCATATATGTTTTGGGCAAAAAAAAAAAAAAATCCAAACGTGAAACCAACGACACTAACTGAAATTGCTCTTTAAGAAACTTGATGGTTAAGCGGACAACATGAAAACATTAATTATAATTGTTAGGTGTAACATAAAAAACATGATAGTTGAAGGGGTGAAAATATAATTCACCCAATATGTCTATTTCAACGGTAGTAGTTGTAGGGCCTAGATCAGATAGAAATTTCAAAGCACGTGCAATGACCATTCTCAGAGTCTATGTAGCCCTGTATTTTGGAAAGAAGAAGTGCAAAATGGCCTCAATGATAAANTTATAATTGTTAGGTGTAACATAAAAAACATGATAGTTGAAGGGGTGAAAATATAATTCACCCAATATGTCTATTTCAACGGTAGTAGTTGTAGGGCATAGATCAGATAGAATTTTCAAAGCATGTGCAATGACCATTCTCAGAGTCTATGTAGCCCTGTATTTTGGAAAGAAGAAGTGCAAAATGGCCTCAATCATATANGGCATAGATCAGATAGAAATTTCAAAGCACGTGCAATGACCATTCTCAGAGTCTATGTAGCCCTGTATTTTGGAAAGAAGAAGTGCAAAATGGCCTCAATGATAAAGGCCATTTGTAATTTTATTTTTTTTACAATATTGTTTAAATATTGCAGATGCTCCCCCATAGATTGTCATAATTACAGCAACATCGTCTTGATGTATATTTTGGTATGCCTTGTTAACGTTAAATGTGTACGAAATTGTCGTTGGGCCAAAAGAAAATTGTGAATACATGAAGGGATCAAAAGAAAAAACCGGATTGGAACATATATATCATAGTCGGATGTAATTAATCAGTCAAAAATGTCAAAACAAATTTTACTTAGTTCGTTACAAATTCGGATTGAATTTGAATCAAAATGTGATCAGTTGACTAATCTAATTGAAACGGTTTATGTGAGCGGATGGGCAAAGACCTATTAGCTAAGGCATTTGGGTGAAAATTAGGCTCCAATCTATATATCCAAAGTCTTGAAATCTCCACATGACTTCCATTAACAAATGAAAGTTGGCAATTTTCTTGGGTCAGACCATATTTCGGAGTAGATAACCTATTTTTGGTCGAACCGAGAAAAGGATTAATAAAAAATGCGTGTAAACTGACATGCTTATTCATGTATATAATATAAAAAAGTAAAAGAAAAAAAAGAGAGTACTAAAAACAATTAAAAAAGAAGCTGGAAGTGCTTAGTGTGTACCTCTCTGTGCTTGTGGGATATAAAAGTGTAAAAAGGTCTGACAAAGATTAACCTAGTTTGTCAATTTTTAAATCCATATATGGTATTGTGATTGATTGAATTTGTATCGGGTCGTATCTAGTAGTATGAGTTGTGTTGTATAAAAATTGATCTAACTCATACATTACCAATCTATTAGGTTGTCTGACAGATTAACCAAATTATGATCGGAAATAATTGATCTTAAATGACCCCATTTTGTCGTAAACTTGTTGGATACTCTAATAAGATTCAATTGTGACTTTTTCCACGGCACTAAAAAATAATTTTCAATGTTGTAGTCCTATACCACTTGCATACATTAGTAATTTGATAATGTGACCAAGCCTCTGGAGTATGGGAAAATCAATCAAATTCCTAAAGTCTTGGTCTCTTCTAATGAACTCCTCCGGCATCAAGACTTCAAGAAGACCCCCAAAGTGCATGTCGAAGACAAAGACCATACATGTCCACTTACATTTATCTAAGGTAAGAAAGTGTCAAGGAGAGAGAGAAAATGTCAAAACATCATTAACCCAAAAACAAAACAAAAAAAAAAATGTTTTTGGAAGCACTCAGTATCCAATCACAAGACCAGGTCTTGATGTTGATGGAGCTCACACCTCTTTTTACTTTTTTTTTTTTTTTTTTGTAAAACCACTTCTTTTTACTTTTCTTTTTTCGGTTCAAACCTCTTTTTACTTTTTTTTTTGTTTGTTCAAACATCTTTTTAATTGAAATACTAATGTTACACAGACTCAAAAAACTGACTTAATAATGCGACTATTATATTTGTTATTGATTTAATTGTAGGTTTCAGTATTTATTTGAGCCCATTATCTATTTAATAGTAGTGATCATCAAATCAAATTTTTAAGTTAATTTTTTATTCAAGTCCACGTGGAATTTCAATGTAGCACAATAGTGCTTAAATATAGGATATGTTTAGAATTGTAATATTTGGAAACGTTGAATCAAGTTGAAATTATAATTCCTAACGAATAATTTCATTTATGCAGGTTGGTTTCATATAATCCCTAGAGTCGTCCGGGCAGTCTAATAGCATGTTTGGATGGAATTTGGGTGAAGGATTGGACTGGTTTTGATGAAACCTTTATACATGAGTTTGATTGAGTCTGAGTCTGAGTCTTTAAATTTCGAGTATGAGAAAGGCATCCAAATATAACCTATGACAATAAATTGTACATTTTTTTAAGCCCTCTGTTGACTCGCCCAAACCCTTGAAACAAACAGGCCATAAAGGATCTAGAGAGGTGCCCGAGTGTTCAAGTACTCCATCCAGGGAAAGAGCAATTTAGGTAATTCATCTTTATAAAGGTGAGAAAAGGGTAAATTAGAATCAACTGAATTAGTCATCCTTAATTCTCTCAATTCTTACCAGAGGGGGTGCGGGGGTGGTTGTTTTTTTTTTTTTTTTGGGGGGTGGTGGTTGGTTATCTTGTCGTCTTTTGGACCATTAGTAATAAAGGATTATTACCAAGGTCGGTAGTCCAATAGATAAGAATAAAATAATAAGAGGGGTGAAAAACTAGCACAAGGGGTGAGAGTTTGGGGTGTCACTAATGTTCTGTTTGGTGCGCTGAAAAAATAGGAGAATGAAAAATTGGAAGGATGAAAAGTTCGAGTGATAAATAAAACATCATGTTTGGTAAGAAAAGAAAGTAAGAAGGATGGAAAACTGGATGAATTAACTTTCCTTCTAACTCATCAAAATCAATCTCTCCAAAATCGGAAGGAAAGTAGATGAAAAGTTAATTATTTGTGTTAAAATGTATCTTATTTGTCTATATATCTTATGTATACATTAATTTCATATAAAAATACAATGGTAAAATATGTATATATATTTTAAAAATTAATTTTAAA